TGGCCAATTAATTTCTTTCTATTTATAGTAGAGACGGGGTCTCGCTCTTGCTCAGGCTGGTTTTGAACTCCTGACCTTGAGCAATCCGCCCGCCTCGGCCTCCCAAGAGCTAGGATTACAGGCGTGAGCCACAGCGCCCGGCCCTAACAACCAAGTTTATACGTACATTAACGGTAATAATTTTGCAAGAACAGCTTGTATTTGCATATAACTTCTGCAAATTGTGCCTCTGGCCAGCCAGGAATGGGGAGGAACAACAACTGCAGCAACAAACTACATACCAACTACAAAATTGTATTTATCCTTTTTTCTTCCACTTTTAGTATTTGAAAACACTTAACATTCACTGTTAATTTTTCTCCTTGCTTCCGAGCATACAGGGAAGTAGGTCAGTGAAGGGACGGCTCAGGATTAGAGACTATGGTAGGAGATAAGAAGATCTTTGAGACCTGGACAACCTCCTGCAAGAGGCCTCTCCTCAGGGCAGCTCCAGCGCGGACCTGGGAACTGAGCACCTAAGCTGGCCGAGATGGAGTTAGAGGGCGCGCGCTGCAAGAGGGACCTGAGAGACTTCAAGACAAGACATGTGGGAAGGTATGTCAGGTGGGCCATGAAGTACTGTTCCCAGAGCCCTCCAAGCCCCCTGGGTAAAGGGCCATTTAACCATAGGTTATTATCCTGGCTGTCATTTGTGTCTGCCATGACAGAATACTACAAAGGTCAGCCCTGGGGCCCCTGTTGCCTAATGCCTTTAACAAGGGGTGGGTGTGGAAATGAGCGGATGAAGCTTGTTGTTGATCCAGATGCCTTTCAGCTGGCCAAGGCATGGGGCCCCGTGAGAAACCCCAGATGAAGTCGATCTTCTCTGGGCCCAATGCAAGGATGGCAGGTGAAATTGAACTCGAGCACACGCAAGGTAAGGCATATGGAGCGAAAGCTCATCTCAGCATCTTTTATGAGACATGACGGGACTCAGGGTAGAGCCCTGAGAGGCTGGGGCCAGCCACAGGGAGTGGGACTCACTCAGTTCAGGGCAGAGGCCTACCTTAGCCAGTTGGAGAGGGGCCCTGGGCTCTGGACTCCTGAACAGTTGCTGTGCCCCATAGGGGTCTGGTGTCATCTCGGATCCCACCTGGCATTGCTTGGTAGGATCGTCACATGTCCTTTACCTTACGTGAGGAAAAGGAGGCCCTCACAGGTGGAGAGAACTGCCCATAGGCAGCTGGTTAGACAGAGGCTGAGTCAGGACCAGAAGCTGGGCCCTTGGCTTCCAGTCAGAGCACCTCCACTCCACCTTGTGCAGGTACCCCCTACCTGCGACAGGTAAACAGCAGCCTCACAGCCCTCAGCTGGAGGTGGGGGCTAGTGGGAAGCCCAGGGAGCCCCAGTTCTCATGCACTCTTTGACTCCACTCATGTCTTCCAACAAATGCTCTTTGAGTACTTATTATATATCATGCGTTGTCACACGTGGGGATTAAAGTTATGAGGCTGGGAGTCAGACTTTGGTCATTTACCCTTTGAGCTTTGATTTCCTCACCTGGAAAATGGGCAACATTAATTCTTGTGCCTAACAGGTAGAGTGAGTGTTGCTGAAAGGCCAGGCCCTCAAGAAGTTCATGGTTTGTCCTGGGAGCCAGATTCGTCAACAACCACACTCTGTGTGTATGGACACAGCAGTTTAGGAGCGGAAGAAGGAATAACTAAAACTAAAGAGGGGACACCAGTATCTGCTCTGCCACCTACCAGCTGAACAACCATAAACCAGCCCCTCAGCTCCTCTAGAAGAGCCTGAATTTCCCTAGTTGTAAAACGGGATGATGTAAGTAGCACATAAATGCCAGGCATGGATTTATGAACTGGATATAATAACATGAGGCGCTTGACACTCAGCAGGCACCAACAAAGTGGTATCATTTTTGAATGACGTAAAAGAAATCTTCACAGAAGAGATAACATTGGAGTTGGGTTTTGAGAGAGGAGCAGAGCTTTAAAGTGAGAAGATAGATAGGAGAGCATGGACAAAGGCATGGCGACATGAAAATACAGCATATTCAGAGAAGGACAAGCAGCTTGGAGATCCTGGAGCACGGTGTATGGAGGAGAGTTGTAGAGAGCGATGGGGACCCAGATGTGATAAGCCTTGTGCCCAATATAAAAAAATTTAGACCTTTAGACAATGGGGGACATTGGAGTCTTTTTGTGTTGTTTTTTGTTTATTTTGGTTTTTAGAGACGAGGTCTTGCTATGTTGCCCAGGCTAAATTGGAACTCCTGGGCTCAAGCAATCCTCCCTCCTTAGCGTGCAGAGTAGCTGGGACTACCAGCACATACCATGGCACCAGGCCAATTGTTTTTTTTTTGGGGGGGGGTCGGGGAGAGGACAGGGTCTCACTCTGGCACCCCAGGTAAAGTGCAGAGGCATCATCCTAGCTCACTGCAACCTCCAACTCCTGTACTCAAGCAATCCTTCTGTCCCAGCCTCCCAAGTAGCTATAACTACAGATGTGCACCACTGCGTCTGGCTAAGTTTTCTATATATTTTTTTTTTTTTATAGAGAGATGGGGTTTTGCTCCTGCTCACAGTAGTCTTGAGCTACTGGTCTCAAGTGATCTTCCTGCCTCGGCCTCCCAGAGTGCCAGGATTACAGGTGTGAGCCACCTCACTTGGCTCCATTGGAGGTTTTTGAGTTTAGTTAGGATGGATCAAATTAGTATTTATAAGGTATGCTTTCTTAGCACTTTCTTGGTTGTTGGTTTCTGTTTGTTTGTTTTGCCAAGAGCCATATTCTAACAGCAATAACACAACAGTGACAAACTCCTGAGTATTTATCAGAACTCCGTTGGTTGCAAGTGACAGAAAACCAAACTCAAATTAGGTGTGGTGGTTTGAAAATATGTGTATAAATTCTTTGATATTCCTCCCTTCAAGTGGTGAGGCCTGATTCCCCTCTCCTCAAGTGTAGGCTGGACTTAGTAACTCACTTCTAACAAACAGAGTAAGTGGAAGTGACAATGTGTGACTTCAGAAACTAGGTTATAAAAGGCACTGAGGCTTCCCTTTCACGGGCTCTTGGAGCTTTTCTGGGGGAAGTCAGCTGCCATGTCATGGGGACACTCAGCCTACATGGTAGGGAACTGAAGCCTCCCGCCAACAGCCGCATGGGTGGACCGGCGTGAAATCACAAGAAATTCATCGTAAGCAAGCCTTTCAAGTCCCTGCTAACATGCAGTCTAAAATCACACATGAGACCCTGAGGACTGTTCAGCTCAGGCCACTCCCAAATCCCTGACCTACAGAAACTGTGAGATAATAAATGTTTGCTCTTTGAAGCTACTAAGTTTTACAGTAATTTATCATGCTGCAATAAATAACTAATATGCCAGCTTAGGCAAAAAAGAAATTGATCGGTGCACATAACTGAGAAGCCTGGAGGTAGGACAACTAAATACAAGGCATCAAAAGATGTCGCTGTTGGCTGGGCATGGTTGCTCACGCCTGTAATCCTAGCACTTTGGGAGGCCAAGGCAGGATTACTTGAGGCCAGGAGTTCGAGATTAGCCTGGGCAATGTAGCCAGATCCTGTCTCTACAGAAAAATAAAAAAAATTAGCTTGGTGTGGTGGCACACACCTGTAGACCTTGGGAGGCTGAGGCAGGAGGATTGCTTGAGTCTAGGAGTTTGAGGCTGCAAGGTTGCAGTGAGCTATAATGATGACACTACTGCACTCTAGCCTGGGCAACAGAGTGTGACCTTGTCTCTAAAAAAAAAAAAAAGTCACTGGGACTTAGTTTGTCTTCACCTCTTATATGGGTCCTCCTTTGCATTGGCTTTTTTCTGCAGTTCTATATGGTGACTTCTGAAAGCTTCAGGCTCATATCATTCTTACTGCTGGGATCTCCAGGGGAAAAGACTGTGTGCCTCTCTCCCAGGAGTGCCAGCAAGGTTCCTTGTGTGTTCTTCAATCTGATTGGGTCCCACACCCATCCCTAAACCAACTGTTGTGCTCTGATTGGCCAGCCTTCATTTGCCCAGCCCTGGTGGCTAGGGGTGGGTCCACTCTACCTGAAGCCCAGGGACGAGGGCAGGGGAAGTGCCAAGGTACAGTTGCCAGGAGGGGGAAACAGTTGCTGGGTAATGAAACAATGGGTATCTCTTATACTTATGTTTGTATCATACTTTCAGCGTGTGTCTCCTGTTCGTTATGCCACACCAGCCACTGTGACCTGGCTGTGCCTAGGGTGCTCTTGCTTCCTCATCTTATTTAGGTTTTAACATTACCTACTCAACGAACCTTCCCCGAACACCTCTCTCTACTTCCATATCTCTCTTCCCCTTCCTTCCTTAATTTTTTTCTTTAGAGCTTAACACTATAATATTATTTCAGTTACTAATATTTTCTCATCGGGCTCTCCAATTGAAATGTAATCTTCATGGGACAGGGCTTATGTCCATTCTGGTCACTGCCATATCCTCTGTGCCCAGAATAGTGTCTGGCATATAGCAGGCACTCAGTAAATAGTGATTGAATGAATGAATGAATGAATGAATGAATGTGCACAGCCATTCTGCAAAGTAGGCTTGGATGGAGGTGAGTCTCTCTCCGTTATAGATAAGGATATGGAAAATTGAGAGAAGGATCCTGTTGGCACAAACAGTTAAAATTTTTTTTTTAACTTTAATTGTTCGGTGCTAATGAGAAAACAGCAGAGGGGAACTTAATGTATTACAGTGTGTTCCCACCAAGTGAAGGTTAAATGATGCCCTGATGCAGTAGTTCAAATAGAGAAAGTGGTAGGAGAATTGAGTCATTGCCTGGCACATGGTGATACAGGCACCCTGAATGCAAAAAGAACCACCTGCTCCATCACAGTCAGAACTAAATCATGCTGTGAGTAGCAATTTTGTTTCAGCAAATAGCAACAGTCACATTTAAATTAATGTGGCTAATTCCAATCCTACTGGTTTTATAGTTTCATTTAAGTAAATGTGTAAGTTTGTTTTGATTTTATCATTGATTGTAAACCTAAAACATCCAGAAGTTTGTACCTAGTTTTGTGTTTGTACACATTTACAGAACATTAAAACAAAATCAAGTAACTTTATCAAGATTTGTATCCTTTATATAGGAAGTTGCTTAGTATTCAAGACTGAGAAACACTGTTTCAGAAGATTCAAACCATGTTGTCATTGGAGACATAAAGGAAGAGTCAGAAAAAGATGTTCTTAGAACAGGGCTCAGAACTTTACTGCCAGGAGCTTAAAGACCATCTGGTGCGTTTAGCCCTCTCATTTTGCAGATCAGTAAACGGAGGCCCAGGAAGCCCAGGTCTCCTGACCCCATGGCTCTTTCCCCCTACATCCTGCTTCCCACATAAGGATACCTGCCCCCGAAAGCTCGCCCATCATTTTCATGGAAGTGACTCAGGCCAGCTTCTAGGGCTGAGCTTCTGTGGAAGACCAGTGGGCCCCAGTTGCTAAGAGGTTCCTTGCAATTCACTCCCCCCAGCCTGTAATCTGCCTGCCAGCTCCCAAAGGCGGGGGGTATTACTCAACAGGAATTTCTCAGCTGTGATTTGGGTGTGTTGCTCTGGTATTTGCTGGGAACAAGAGATAGCTGGGGGAGAATTCCCAGCCCTCCCTGGAGAGCCCAGGCTGGGCAGCTCTCAAACCTGACTCTGCTCCCAGAGCTGACCTCAGGGTAGCTCTCTCAGGTGGAGATTCCTGAGGGCCTTGCTTGAGTTTTGCCCCTGGCATTTAGGGTAGACATATGTGCATGATCACTGGGAAAAAAAGAGGGTACCGATGTTCTATCTATCACCTGACACCCGAGAGCTAGGCAGAGTGGGAACCACAGCAATGTTCATGCCAGTCTTTTATGAGAGATCCTGCAAGAGGGAAACTGCCAGCTGTCTCCTGGCCTGCCCCATTAGTCTCTGGTGGGAGGGGAGGAACTGGTCCTACGGCAAGCTGTCCCAGTGAAGCAGAAGCTGGTGGCTGAGGAATTAGGCCTGGTGATGGCTGAGTGTGGCTGGCTGGGGCATGAGTGGGAGATGCCAACTCAGTTCCTCCAGTACTGGCTTCTCAGGAGGCCCAGGGCCTCAGGAAATGCTTATATGGACTATGGAAAAGGACTGGCCTCCCAGGGCCTCCTATGGGTTGATGGGGGAAACTGAGGCAGAGAGCTATGGTTTGGCTAAAGCCATTTTTCATTCAGCAAAGATTGAACTGGAGCACCTGTTGTGTCCTAGGTGCTCTACGTTAGGCTGTGGGGGAAAGAAAAGGGGTAAGACTTCATAGAGACAGTAGGAGAGAAAATGTGGACAAAGGACTAAAATGAAGTAAAGCAAACGCTCTCAGATACGAATGGCACGCTGCAGGAGTCCGATTGCTCCCAGCAGATTGCTACTGGGTCTGGGACAAAACTGAGGTCTCTGGCTTCCTGAGCTAGGAGCCCAAGAAAACAGAGTGATTTTTGTCCTGCCTCCTTGTAGCCATCTACAAATCCTCTAATGACTACTGTGCCCTTAGCTCTTGGGAAGCGCCCATGAGGACCCTGTTAGCATTAGG